TCACCTGCACTTGCGGATGCAAGTACATTGGCCATACGCAAAGGCAATTGGCGACCAGGGCTGCTGAACATTTGCCTGCTTGGCTTCTAAAACAAGAGAACAAATTACCACGGTCGTCTATTATAAAACACTTATTAGACAGTGGTCACTCCGTTAACACTAACACATCTTTCCGCGTTCTTGTTCGAGCACGAAAAAACCAGACCTTATGTTACATGAAAGCATCCTACATACGGCGGGAGAAACCCGACCTGTGTAAGCAACTAGACCATGTAGTTAATCTTCAATAGCCCTGGTAGATACATACCACACCTATCCGGCCACTCCCGCTTTGTCGCGATCGCGTGTGGTCTCCAATGTCCTGCATGAGGTCAGATGAGCCGTTGCAGCCTGACATTCAGCCCCCTGTGTAGGACTGAGTTGTCCTGCTCGTTGGTGGACTGCTAAGCCAGGACATTTCGGCTCCCGTGACATATTCCAGCACGTCAGATTGTCTGCAATGACGTATATGCGTGCTGTACTTACTTGCACTTGTTGCGGCTGTGATCGTGGTCATGCGCCTTAGCCCTTTCTCACTAAGATAAATCTGACTCGCGCTGATAGTCATGGTCTATAGGACTACCAGACCGAAAGTCTACCTGAAATACATCCCTTATGTGTCCTTTCGGCATTCTCCTGTATGTGAACTCTGAACCCCCTCCCCCATTTAAGAGCCTGATGCAGACTGTGAGGGCCAGGAGACGATTGAGAATAGCATCTTGAAAAACCGGAGTTCTGACTGTTGTAACGGTAGCCAAGGCCGAAATTTCACCACCTGACTACGTCTTGCGGGAACCCCCAAGGAAGAACACGACAAGAAGTGAGCAAAAACACTGGAACAAGAGGTTTATTGTCCTGACGTTTCGGATTACCTCGGGAATCCTTAATCATAGGTAATAGTAGAACAGTCTGAGACATGCGCAGTCTTTGGGGGTGAGGCGCTCCGATCGGCTCGTCGGTGGGAAACATTTGCCTTTCGAGAGTCATCTACTTATGCGCAGATTCGATTCCTGCACAGGTGCCTCGACAACAATGTACCCTTGTCTGCGCATGTCTCAGACTGTTTAACTATTACCTATGATTAAGGATTCCCGAGAGAATCCGAAACGTCAGGACAAT